TGTTACCGCTAAAGCTCGAAATCCGTTAATGTGTACATTACCTAGCTAATCTGCAGATTAAGTAGGGTGATCCGTTAAAGCTGCGAAAATTGTTCAATATCTCATATTACCTAGGTAATTTGCAGAGTATCTAGGTAATCTGCACATTAACGGCTTCCGTATCGTTAAAGTTCAAAAGTTTGTTTCTTTCACTTCCTTTCCCCACTCCTTCTTTTTACGTAGATAAATTTAAATCCTAGAATGCAAGCAAGCACCGAATTGGTGAGTAAAATCAAGAAAAGATTCTTCGCAAACCTCTTTAGCGAAGATTTAAAATATAATACGTAGTGTTTTAATAACAAACCAAAGTATGATTCCATAATTGAAGATGTAAAGCAAATAAAAGTTTCCAAGAAGAAAGAATCATCTCGAGATTATCAAATAATTCAAAGGTGTGATGTGTTGACTGTACGAGGCTGTGAAAAACTCATTGAGCCGTTGTCAGATGCGCGAGAAAGGTTTGAAAAAGTTTGTCCATGCCGGAGAATTGTTTGACATTCGATAAAAACTGAAGAAGACCTTGAAAAATTAGAAGATTCACAAGAGACTGTGATTATGAGATCACAGTCAAATCTTACTCAAGAGGACATTCCGTTATCCCCCGCTTCTACAGAATCACCTATAGAAATACAAGAATTTACCGATAGTAATCTTAAACTGCCTTCTATACCGTTGATTGATGATGCAGTCACGAAGAATATTCAGTTACCCTGCACCTCCAAGGAATCGCCTCTGCAAGTTGAAGAAGTCATCACTGAGTTACTCTCAACTTCAGCAGAATCGCCATCACAGTTTCGTACGGAGCCTGTAAAGAGCACTATACAAGACATAGTCTGTATTGTTTGCTCAAAAGCAGCATCAAGTGCTCACAAGTGTAAATCGTGTAATATGTTTGTTCACGCAGTTTGTGGTGAAGTAGATCCTAAAGAGGAAGGGTATGGTAAGAATGTATTGTGCATCATCTGTAAAAAGAATATGGATCAGAAAATACAGCGTGATGAAGCCAAGAAATGTTTAGAAAAGCAAGCAAAGAAAATGTTAGCAGTTTCTAATGCAAAGCACCCAAACGTCGATGAAGGTTTCGCTGTGAGAATTAAAGTACCCGAAGAAGACAGAGCAAAAACTGATGCACGTTCAATTTTAGCTGTGGTTCTTAGTAAAACAGAGGATGGCTTTTATAAACTTGATACTAAAACAGGTATTTTAAAACAATTGTATGCAAAATCTGAATTCAGTGTTTGCAAAGAGAGATTTTTAACGAAAGAAGATGGATGTCCCTGCTGTAGAAATATCTTTACGTCAAACAGCAATAAAACAATCCCTTGGTACTGGGCAGGGTTTCAGAAAATGTGACTGCAAATCTAAATGTACCACAAATAGGCGTGCTTGTCGCAAAAACCAATTGCTACGTAATTCAAAGTGTCACCAATCTTTAGATTGCACTAATAAGTAAGTACAATTTTATCATATGTTTTGCAAATTCATTTCCCTAATTGTAGTAATATTTTAAACCGTTTGATTTTTGTATTAAAGTTTTTTTAATTGATTGATGATTGATTCAATCAACTAATTTGTTGATTGTATTAACTTGATTCTTTAGATATTGAAAATTAAATAAATAACATTATGTTAATTTAAGCGTACAGAAACGTTGCTGTCGTTCCAGCAAAAATCTTATTTTCACTTTACCGAGTGCCTAGTAGGTAATTTGCAGATTACCTGGATAATCTGAACATTAATTTGAGAATTTGAGAAATGTAATTTGAGAAATGGAATAATTTTCGCAGCTTTAACGGATCACCCTAGTTAATCTGCAGATTACCTAGGTAATTTGAGAAATGGAATAATTTTCGCAGCTTTAACGGATCACCCTAGTTAATCTGCAGATTAGCTAGGTAATGCGCACATTAACGGATTTCGAGCTTTAGCGGTAATATATAGACTGCGGTTTAGTTTTCTGTTAGGTTGTATAACAACATTATATAACTTATTAAACAGAATAACAGAAACATTAGAATAAAGATTTATTTAACAGAATAAATGTTATAATATGTTGTTTGTGGACTGAAAACACACTTTAAAATTAAAATAATTGAAATTAAAACTTTCAGTCATTTAAATTAATAGGCCTATTTCATAATAATTGAGAGTAACGTAACAGTCAAATTCCATATTCTAATGAATAGTTGTTACTTAATAATCATTTTGTTATAAAATAAACAATAAATAAAGTTGAAGTAGATATTTCTATTTTTTGTCTACTGTATAATAAATTTTATAAATATATTTAATTCTCTATTAAAATAGCTAAATTTAGTTTATATGCATAAGAAAGTTCCTAAATGAAGTAAATTATTATCTCTTGCAAATATTTTTGAAGGTTTACTTTACATCACATGTAAAGTTTGTGAGAATGGTTTTCTTTTTTCTTCATCTAATTTTAATTTATAAAAATGTTTAATCTGAGCCCCTGTTTGCAGTTTCTGTAATGTAAAAATGCATATGAATATAGAAAACTAAATATATTCTTATTTTAACAATTATCTCCAAATTTCTTCTGTAATTTTCCATTTCAAAACTAAATTTTTCCTCGTACTTTATTATACGAACTATTGACAGCTTTTTATTTTGAAGCCTATTTAATTAAAGGCTTTAACTTAAAACCTTTAATTATATACACCTTTGGCTGTCGAAATTTTACAGTTCGGTGCTGAACACCAAACAATTTGAAATATATATAACAAGAAATTCAACTAATTCAGATCGAAAGAAACAAACAAAGAACTTCGTTCTAGAAACACCGTACACACCAAAGAGCCGCAACATAACGACTGCCGCGTTTGGTTTGGTAAAATAGATTTGTTTAATGGTCTTCCGCATTTTCGTCAATTGAAAATCTCTATACGCAAAGAATCTGTGGAAGATGAAGAGCAACATCATTCTGTGAACCAATAAGAAATTTAGGGGCTCAGAGCAGGTTTGACTCTTAATTTTTCACACCAGATTTTTTGGTAAAAAATTTTATGTGATTAAATCCCCAAACATCCAACATCCAAAACCGAAAAGCACAACGTCTCTTANAAACGTATGCGTTGAGAAATGCTTTCAGGTGCAACTGCACACAGACAAATTAGCAACGTTTAAGGAGGGGCAAGATGTTTTCAATTGGGTCGACATTACGTGATTGAGGCAACCACACGAGCAGATTAATATTTTGATCCAGAAGCCACGACATTGTCCTCCTGCATGTGTATTTCGGATAATTATCTTGCACATAAATGAAAGAAGTCCTTTCAATGTGGTAATAATCAACAGGCTGGAACAAATAATCTGTAACAAATGTATCTCGGTGAAAATAACGTTTGCCAATCTATTGAATGTAAATCCTTTCATTTTGCATTTCATAGCATTTCAGGTCGAAAATACGAAATACAGCCCCAGACTGCTACCAAATTTCAATGTGGCTTAGTTATACAGGGTTTGTCCAATAAGTATCAAAACTGATATTTTCCTGCCAACACAAACGGTTACTGTAGTCGTGATGGATGGTGGTGAATGCCATGTAAGTTACGAGGCCCGGCTCAGTTATCTCTGAGCCTTTAAAGTATATAGATCGCGCCCGAAGTGGAAGTATGTTTAGTGCTTGTGTCGAGAGTCAAGATAGAGCGAACTATCAAGCAGCGTTTTCGCATGAAATTTTGTAAAAAATTGCAGAAATCTGCCACTGAGAGTTTGGATATGATCCGTGAGACTTAAAAAACGAAGCCATGTGTTTTCAGAACTCGTGTTTTGAGAAACACACGGCTTCGTTTTTACTCTCAGTGGCGGATTTCTTCAATTTTCCGCCAAACTTGATGTCAAAACCCTGTTCTATGATTCCCTGTTCTATGATTCAAAATTCAAACATGGCTGGCAGATGTCGAAGACAAACAACGCGCTGGAAGTCCGACAGCGACCCGAACCGATGAAAATGTCTCTAAAGTGGATGAAATATCGAAGAATAGGGTCTGCCGCTCCGAAAGGAGATCGCCGATACTTAGATGCTCCATCAAGACAATGCACCCAGTTACACGTCGCTAATTGTGAGGGAGGCACAGACCAAACACAACGTCTCAACGTTGCCCCAATCATCCTACAGTTCAGATGTGGCCCTTCAGACTTCTTTTTGTTCCCTCGTATCAGAGGAGCCTGGAGGACACCGTTTAGAAACGATTGAGGCAGTCCAAGCGCCTTCGACAGGGTGCCTGAACAGCCTTGCGGTTCCAGGTAACGTATGAAGACTGGAAAAAGAGTTGTCAGTGGTGTATTGATGCAAGTGTGTCATATCTTGAAGATTATTAGCTTATTGTTCATATATCTTCAATAAATTTCTTTTAATAACTTCCGACCCGATACCTTGTAGACATCATCGATGTAGTCACTACTTATTTTCAACCATCTAATCCAACTATATTAATTTTGGGCTCATATGATCATGCAATCTTATTTCAGTATTTTAATGTTCAGTCGTTATACGGTTTGACATAATTAAATCGCTTCTGTTTATGTAACTGGAAAGCTCACGAAGGAATCTGCAAATAGTTGAAATACTCACTTCTATTCCTAAGCCCTGATTCAATTCCATCTTTAACTGTTATGTATCTGCTCGTTCTGTGAAAACGTGTAAGATTAACTATAATGTAAATATCTTAATCTTCACTATCGTTACTTTTTGTTCAGCGAAGCGGGTCCTTGCAGCTAGATTCTAGATTACTTAGAAAAACAGTCTTTTATATATATATATAAAACTATATTACATACAAATAAAAACCCAGCGAAGCGGGTCCTTGCAGCTAGTCAATAATAAAATTCAATTAAAACAATAATAAAAATTACGATCTTATTTTCATTTTGCAATTTTATTTACTACTTCAACACATAAAAAATAACAGAAAATTCATTTATGTAACTATAATCGATTTTTTGTAAGCAGAAATTCCTAAGTAGATGATGATTTAACTTACTTAAATATAATTTACAATATCGAAGTTGATTATTAACAATTAAAAAATAACTGGAATACATACATTAAGTAGTCTCATCTGTTCTTATCCACCAGTTTTGTTTCAGAAATATAAATTTGTTTACTTTTTCTGAATTTATTTCATCGGAATCGCCGTTTGACAGCGTCGATGAAACTGATCGTTTCCATTCTGAACATGAAATACTAGCAGGTATACACAAGTATTGTAGAGCAATGGAGTAAATATTTGGAAATTTACATTTACTCTTTTCCCAGTACTGTAATGGGTCTTCGGTTGAACGAATTGTTGGTTCATTTAAGTAATCATCAAGTTCAATAGTAACTGGTTCGATTTTTCTTCTTTTTCTACTTAAATAGTCAAGAACAGGCATTTCTTCGTTCAAGCAGATTCTTTCTGGTGAGGCACAATTTCTTTTCTTTTGTCGAATTTCAGATAATTTATGTTTAACTTTCTTCCTTGCAGCTCGCCCAATATCTGGTTTCGAAAATCCAAGTGTTTTAAATCGCGGATCGAGTATTGTACTAATTAAAGATATATCATTTGCTTCAAGACTTTTTAGACAAAAGTTTACAGACGCTTTTAACTTTTCGACAATATTTATTTTTTCTGGTGAATTATTTTTGATACTTTCTAATTTATTAAAAATGCCGTTTAATATAGGAATTGTCATTGAATGTGTGGCAAATTGAAAATTACTGATATGCTGCAGTGTCTGAGAAATGAGATCAAAATAACTAACGCAAACTTTTAATTTTTCTATATCTCGAGGTGACAACGAACAACGTGTTATATCATATATTACCTGTGATTCTTCCCATAATTTTAAAATTTGTTTTATCAACTTATAAACATTTCTCCAAGTTAAGGTAGATGTGGATTGAGGACTATTTTCTATTATGTATGAAAGCATAACGCTATATTCGTTTATAACAGATAGCATATAAATTTTTAACGTGGTTTCGCATTTTTCTACGAGACAATTAATTTCGGCAATCTCAGAATAACAATTTGCAAGCTGATCTAATGTATCTGTTAAAGACGGCAAGTTCGGAATATTTCGTAAAATATTTTCAGCTCCTGAAATATCTTCCGTATTAATGCTCACTGTAAATCGAATCTTATCCTCAAGCCTCCAGTTATCAATAATTTGTTCCAACAGCTGAAAAATTTCGTAAAAATCTTAAATTAATAAAAACCAGCGAATATTCTGTGATTGATACCGTAAGTAAGACTATATAATACCTGTCTTGTACGTAGAGGTGTGACAAAAGATGCTTCTTTCGTAGCTAGAACGACCACGTGGAGTTTCTTTTCCCACAGAAAATGGCAGTGGAATGAAATATATTTCCTGTCTGAACATTTCGATATCCATGTGCCAATTGAAATCGTTGCGAATTCGATTTGCGAGAGAATTTCATGCAGTCTTTCATTTAAAACATTGAATTTATCGACGAAAAGTACTTTTTCTAAAGTCGTTCGAGATGGTAAATCATACTCACTGTCCAGTTCTTTTACAAAGTCTCTGAAACATTTTGTCTCCATTAATGATAAAGGATACATATCAGTGACAAACATATCGGTTAACACATAACCTAGGTGCTGTTTTCGAGCCATTGATGGATAGTGTTAATTATATGTTCTAGGAGATAAGTAAGGCTGATAATGTAGTCGAATAACGATGTCTTCTTTTTGCTCTCTTGTTTCTACTAATTTTCTAAACTTTCAGCATTAATTATTTAAATACTTTATCTGAAAGAATCAAATTTATAAATAAACTTGTCTTATAAAATTCATTGATTTAGTAATATACAGTAGAACCTCGATTATCCGGACTGATTGGGGCTGAAGGTAGTCCAGATGAGGGAAAATTCGGATAATCGAAACAAATACTTTAATTTGTATTTTAATGATAATACAACACGTTTTCTTTTCGATGACATATCGGCAATATTAAAAGTAAATACTATATTTAAATCGTGATCAAATTTTCAAAAAACAAACGTTCGTATCGAATTTGGACTACTACTGACCAACGCTAACAGACTATCTAGTGTTTAAAAGGCCCTCTGGTGGCGCAAGAAGACGGATTTTATAAAATAAAAAGCAGTTGAAACTGCATTTTTATGAATAAAGATTTGATAAACTATTTATCGTTTTATGACGAGTAAAATTATTTCGTCGCGTTCGCGGCTTTTAAGTAATGTATAAACCTTCGAAACGCGATGCTCTTCGGACCGCGAGGCATAGTCGGTGGCCCACGTTGTCCATGCCTTACGCCGCCCTTGGTCATAGAAATGATGTAATTTGAAAATAAAATTTTTTATAAATACCTATGTCAAGTTATATTTTTATTACGACGCAAAATATATTTAAGAGTTTACGGCCACTGTGCCGGGTGAGACGTTGTTGAAACAAAAAAGTTATGCATTCCATCACGTACATAAACAGTATCATAATTCGCCAAGTGCAAATCAGCAAATTCGAAAAATTTTTGTTTATTTTGAACAATCCGGATAATAGAGGTCCGAATAATCGAGGTTCTACTGTATTCGGTTTTCTTACAAGTGTGTCTAAATGTTAGCGCCTTATGGAACTTCGCGCAATGAGAATACCAGGTTTTACAGGAAAAGAGAATAAGTCAAAATGTTCATATTATGTGGAACGAGAAACTAATTACAGAAAATAAACAAGACTGGTCAAGCTCATCTGATAGCACGCTCCACAAAAGCGAATCAAATATTTTTAAAATAAATTCATTCTAATTATTATCATTATCATTATGTTGCGTTTAGTGAGTTATGCCCGGTTGACACCGGTGGCTGTGTACTTTGCCGGACAGAGTGAAGGTAAAGTAACCAAAACAAGTCACAAATTAAATAAGTGTATCAGTCTGTCTCTGTATTCAGGAATTTTCTAACAATATGACACGTTCATTATAATTATAATTATTGTTATTATTATTTTGTGCATGCGCAATAAATGGATTGTATGCAACATAACACTTACGTAACTCCAGTGGCGTGCCGTCATTAGAAGCGTTGGAAGCGCCGCTTCCCTCGTATTCTCTAAAAATAAATAAATATTAATTTTAATTGTATGAAAATAATCGCACAATATTTTATTATAACCGCATTATGTATCTTATTACAAATTTCTATACTACACGTGGAAAAAAAATTGCTATTGTATATTAGAATATTAGTGGCAGAGTGGAATCTCCTGTATTTTCAGATTACGAAAAGCCAGATTTGCGCACGCGCTTTACAGAGCACCAACCTCACCCGGTTTAGCCGGTGGAAGCCTACGACCTTGGGTGAAAGCTGCACACATATAAAGATTCCAATTCTATCAAGGACCGGTTCTGGGCTGTTAGCCGCCTGCCCACTAGATATTTCAATTACGTGAATAACGAGTAGTAACCCAACCAATAAGAATTTACTATGTTTTTACGATAGTTCTGTATAGTTGACAGGAGTTTAAAAAATCCATTAAAATATTTGATATATTTATTACGCTCTCCGATTTTATATTACTCACGGATTTCGATGTTAAACCAGTGATATTACGATTTCGTACATCCCATCTTTAAGGGGATGTAGAAAAATACGTGTACAATTCTCGTATAATGTTAAAAAATTAACTGTTACTTTGGTAGCATCATTTACAACTAAATTTAATGAATGAGAGAGATGCGCGAGGTACAGAAAAGGCTCTAGAATTTATTTTCCTTAAATTTACGATTTACGTATCCGTTTGTCGTAAAAATTTGTCTTTCCACTTTTTCCCGAGACTACAAATATTCGAGTACGAAGTAACTGGTATCGACTTATTTCTACTTAAGAAGTAGTTAAATTTAAGTAGAATTAGAAGTAGAATTATTTCTTAAGAAGTAGTTAAATAATTAAGCGATTAGGGAATTGGGGACGTAAACAAAACCCTGAGGAAAGAGCCGGAATATTACTTAAACAAAAGCTTAACCGAACCAATCTATAGCCGAGTACAGTGGGGACTGATTTCTTCGAAACTAGTAGCCCGGGACGCCCCCTAGTGGGCGTTCTTTACAAATTTCCATGAGGCACGGTTCCTTTGACTTTTTTGTTCCTATCAATATGCTGTACAGCTCTGTTAAAGTCCCAATGGTAAGATTTACCCTCCGAATGAAGAGGTGGCGACCCCCCCAAACTGTAGCCCCTGTGCGAACAATAAAGTCACCATACCCCTACTCGCGATCCTTCGCGAGATATAAGCCCCTGAAATAATAAATTCCTATTACAAATATACTGAATTATTTATATTGTTATATTGACCAAATAATAATTTATGGGCCAAATGAATAATAATAAT